AAAAAAAAAAAAAAAAAAAAAAAAAAAAAAGAAAAGCCCTGCCTTGTCAGATTAGATATAAACCTCTGGTCCTGGAATCGTTATATCTCATCTACTTTCTAACTCGTTACACTATCGATCTTGTCCTCCTGGAAAAAAAAACTTGATCTATCTATACTTTCATACTTTCATGTATAACAAAGTTGATCTAACCCCGACTTCTTATCCCTTATATCACACCGCCCCACGACGATCCACTGTGACTGGATGACGCCTAATTGAGTCACCACCAAAGAGTCATACCCAATAATCCTTCAAAAGCTCGTCTGGCCCACCATGGACTCTTCTTCTATCACCTCTAATACCTCCAAACCCTCCCCCTACTTCGATTCTCTCCTCCGTCGTCGCCAACAAAAGAAAATGAGCATAACTCAAACATACTACCTCGCCCACACCGCCCGGAAGAAGCTCACTCGTGAAGCTTCCCGGGCAGACCACGACCTCCGCCTGCTCGTTGGACACGCCAACCTCCTGGACTCGCTGATGTACGACCTCGCCGATGCCGAGCGTGAACAAGAACGCTGGTTCAACCAAACCGTCAGCGGAGCCACCAAGGCTTCTTCTTCTTCTTCTTCTTCCTCTCGTCAACACATCCAATGGGCTTCGACCGTGGTCGAAGAGCCCGAGGAAGACCTGGAAGCGGAAGATGCGTCCGATCTCGACTCCGATCTCAGCGACAGCGACGACTCCGACTACGACGAGTCCGAATTCGTTATCAACACTCCTCCCCGCCGCCGCGCCCCATCACCGGTGGCTCACTTCCATGAGGACCTGCTAGAGGAGGAGGACGACGGCGACGACACAGATTCAGACTTTGAGTACGACGATGCGGAGGATCTGGACGAGCTGAGCTTGACTCGCTCACCATCGCGACAGTCGCCGCCTGAGCTCCTTTCTGATTCAGATGGGGAGTCCGAGGACGAGCCGACGCCGCCCTCCCCGCCCCAGCCTACGCTGGAGGCATTCGATGAAAAGGAGCCTGCTACTACGGCTATTGCCTTGGCAGGCTCTGATCAACCCCATCTCTTTGAGCAAGGGTATTTTGGTGCACAAGAGCAGACCCTCATCGAGGCTTATTGATTAAGCTCGATTACTCACATCCACCTGACGATCCTGACTATTCTCCTACCCCTCTCTCTCTCTCTCTCTGCCTTGTGTACCATCATCCAGCGATATATACGTGATACCCTGATGCTTTTACGACGATATCTTTGGAGCGAGCTTATATTTACCATCTCTCATCTTCTATTTTCTGGCGTTTTTGGTTCGGTCGCATTTGGCGAATCTCCATTTTGGACATTCCATTATTTTCATGTCATATGGACATGGATTACATATTCCTCTCATCTCTGGCTATCTGTGATAGCCGAACATTCAGCTCTCCCTACAAGGTCGAGACTGAATTGGAGCGTTGAAACACAGGGGAAGACATTGGGAAGACATTGTGCTCCCAATCGATGTACATACACGAAACAAGTATCTTCACTTCCCCGACAGAAAAACAATCCAATTAAAAAATTCAAAACATATTCCACTCCACTTGATAGTACATAGTACAGTAAATAGTATCATTCAAATCGGCATAATTGCGCGTGTGACCCTGTAGATCCGCGCTCCGAGCGCAGAATCCCTTCTCAGCCAAATGGAAGTGCAGCTCGCCAGCACGCGAGTCTTCACCGCCGGATAAGATAGATAGATCAGAGCCAAGGGAGATAGTGTGAGATCATTGCGGCTAGGTCGGCTTAGGGCGCCGCTATTTAATAGTCAGCTGAAGGGTTTTACTAGTCCTTTGGAGACTTGGTGGAGAGTGGGTTATGGAAGGGGGAATTTTCTTCGCTTCTTTTTGCTTCGAATGGATGCCTTGGCT